AACATAATACACATTCTTAATATAAATACTACATTCATATGGTACAAGTAAAATTTTATGGCTGGTTGACATCTTTGGTACTATATATTAAAAAGAGATACTGGAATAACTAAAAGGTCAACTTCAAATTAAACCATTTAAACCATAGCTGCCTGGGTAGCAGATCTTTACTATGTAGTTTTGAGTAACCAGAAACAGAGCATGTTGCCTGCAGCGCTACAGCCACAGATAAACCAGCAAGATAAGTGATCTGTCCCATCAGTTAATAAAAATCCCTAAACCCTCCATGTACCCCCATATTAATACAGCTGAAATCTTCTATAACTACATATATACATATGCTTACATAATATATATATGTGCATGCATGGATAAACCACCAGAGAGATACACATTTATACACTACATCTACAACTCCTTCTTTCCCCATACAACTCCCTACATAAATTATATGTAGTGTATGAACTACAGCAGACGAATCCAGACAGAGGCACAGTAAAACTTAGATACAGTATGACTGCTGCTGTAGCAGTGATCCATCTGAAGCAAATGTCAATGACAACCACCTAAGCAATCTATTTTGTACAAAGCATTACCCTAACATCCTTTTCAAGGCTGGTACAGGATACTGTTACATCGACCATGGTCATGTTGTACACGGGATACTCAGCTCTTGGGACACATCTCTGGGCCTGTATACAGTACAGGACTACCTGTGGTCCAACAATCCTACAGCCAAGCTGCAATAAATTAACAGGGGGAAAAAGAATTAGCAGAAGGTACAATGGTATCAGAAAGGTTTTCCTTGTCTCTGAATCCTGAGGAAGGCAGGACCTCTGGTCTGTACTCCTTTAGCATCTCCAGGTAGCTGACAGTTTTGGTTTTACTTTCAGCTGTGGATTTCAGTACAATCCTTGTAGATTTTCTGACCTCAGTAAAAAGCAGCAGATGGTATAAGCTAACATGCCAGAGAATCCCAGCTATTCCTTGCATGTCAAACAAAATCATATTACTCAGGAGGCAAAAAGGTGTGAAAATAAGCTTAAACCTCCACCAGAATCAGAACCGATCATGCCATTTATTTTTGCACGTGCTTCAAAATATTCCTTATGCTTTGCTAGTCATCCTCCTTAAACACAGAACACAGTGAAGCTTCAAAGACTTTATTGTGAATACTTCATACTGCTGTATTCAGTGTAAAAAGAGCATACAAAATAGGGGCACCTATGCTTCTAGAAGAGAATATAGGTAGAAGTAAGTTGATGGGTATCATACCTGTTTGAGATGATTGAAAACGACACCTGTAAAAGGATCACAAATGTAAAGCGATTTATCATTTTCTCTTATATTGAGCGCTGTCCCTTCGTCAAGGATCTGGAGATGTTCTTCTGACTGAAATTCTTTCATAGACTGCAGGTAAACAGCATATACACCACCACTTACTTGATTATCAAATCACAAACAGCCAATCCTGTGGAAGCTACATAAGTACATCTGCCTGAAACAGCTCACAGCAAAGCTACCACACAGGAGTACACTGGCAAAAGAAAGGGCTAAAACACCTCATAGGTGTCACCCTTATTCCCCGGACTCTTCACCACACACACTTTCAGGACCACACAGTGCCCTTAGCTCCCACTATCCTCTCAAGGTGGATTAAGTCTGCTTAGTTTATATGAGTGACACCCATCCAGACCACTTAAACTACATGCCACTTCACTAAATGTCAACAGGTTTTGAAATTACAATTATTTCGTGTTCAGGAAGCAACTTCTTCAATAAAAGCGCCCATCAAACTTTATTAAACACCGGAAGTAGCTTTATTTATGTATGCATGTAAGTTACATCTAAGCCAACCACAGAAATCATTTAATGCCTCACCAAGCTCACTCAGAAAAGCGATCAAACCTACTCACCTCAAGAGCTTTATAGAAATACTCCGAGCTCGCAGCAGACTTTATGAACTTCACAAAAACCAGCTCCTTACTGCGTTTCATTCTTTAACTGAGAAGCAAAGCCCAGTAAGCCTCCTAGCATTACGGCCTAGCCCGGAACCCCCTCCTGCCCCTGATCCTCAACGGCCCGCCCCAGGCCGCCGGAGAAGTAAGGGGCCCACCGGGAGGCCCTTTACCACAGGGTCCCCTCCTCACGAAGGGATCCAGCGCACCCACCGTGCCCTGCTCCGCACCGGGTGCCGCCGGTTCAACCGCACACACACACCCCCCTCCCAGTCCAAGTCCCGGTCCCGGTCCCAATTCCCGGCCCCACAGCAGGACACAAACCCCAACCCGCAGAGAGCGGGAAAGCAGCGCTCACTGCTCTGCGCAGGCGCGGACAGGGGCCAGGCGGCAGTGGGCGGGGAGGCGGGCGGTGCCACGTCGCTGCGTGACTCTGCGTGACCCTGCGTGACCCTGCGTGCGTTCCGGGGGGTAGCTCGATGGGGGTGGTATCACAGTATCACAGTATGTTAGAGATTGGAAGGGACCTCGAAAGATCATCTAGTCCAATCCCCCTGCCGGAGCAGGAACACCTAGATAATGTTACACAGGAATGCGTCCAGGCGGGTTTTGAATGTCTCCAGGGAAGGAGACTCCACAACCTCCCTGGGCAGCCTGTTCCAGTGTTCCGTCACCCTCACTGAGAAGAAGTTTCTTCTCAAGTTTAAGTGGAACCTCTTGTGTTCCAGTTTGTACCCATTACCCCTTGTCCTATCATTGTTTGCCACTGAGTAGAGCCTGGCTCCGTCCTCGTGACACTCCCCCTTTATATATTTATAGACACTGATAAGGTCACCCCTCAGTCTCCTCTTCTCCAAACTATAGAGACCCAGCTCCCTCAGTCTTTCCTCATAAGGGAGATGCTCCACTCCCTTAATCATCTTAGTTGCCCTGCGCTGGACTCTCTCCAGCAGCTCCCTGTCCTTCTTGAACTGAGGGGCCCAGAACTGGACACAATACTCCAGATGCGGTCTCACCAGGGCAGAGTAGAGGGGAAGGAGGACCTCTCTCGACCTACTAACCACCGCCCTTCTAATACACCCCAGGATGCCATTGGCCTTCTTAGCCACAAGGGCACAGTGTTGGCTCATGGTCATCCTGTCGTCCACTAGGACCCCCAGGTCCCTCTCCCCTACACTGCTCTCTAACAGGTCATTCCCCAACCTATACTGGAACCTGGGGTTGTTCCTGCCCAGATGCAGGACTCTACACTTTCCCTTGTTATATTTCATCAAGTTACTCCCTGCCCAACTCTCCAGCCTATCCAGGTCTCGCTGGATGGCAGCACAGCCTTCTGGCGTATCAGCCACTCCTCCCAGCTTAGTGTCATCAGCAAACTTGCTGATAGTACACTCAATTCCCTCATCTAAATCATTGATGAATATATTAAATAATACCGGTCCCAGTACTGACCCTTGAGGCACTCCACTAGTTACAGGCCTCCAACTAGACTCAGCCCCATAGACTACAACTCTCTGGCTTCTCTCCTTCAGCCAGTTCGCAGTCCACCTCACTACCTGATCATCCCCCTCCTTTCCCCTTCCTTCGCCTCCCCTTCGCCCCCTCCTTTTCCCCTTCCTTTTCCCCCTCCTTTTCCCCCTCCTTTCCCCCCTCCTTTCCCCCCTCCTTTTCCCCCTCCTTTTCCCCCTCCTTTTCCCCCTTCCTTTCCCTCTCCTTTCCCCCTCCTTTCCCTCTTCCTTTCCTTCTTCCTTTTCCTCTTTCTTTCTGCTCCTTCCCCCCCTCCTTTCCCCCCTTCCTTTCCCCCTCCTTTCCCCCTCCTTTCTCTCTTCCTTTCCTTCTTCCTTTTCCCCTTTCTTTCTGCTCCTTTCCCCCTCCTTTCCCCCTCCTTTCCCCCCCTCCTTTCCCCCTCCTTTCCCCCCCTCCTTTCCCCCCTTCCTCCCCCCCCTTTCCCCCTCCTTTTCCCCTTCCTTTCCGCTCCTTTCCCCCCTTCCTTCCGCCCCTCCTTTCCCCCTCCTTTCCCTCTTCCTTTTCCCCTTCCTTTCCGCTCCTTTCCCCCCTTCCTTTCCCCCTCCTTTCCCCCCTTCCTTTCCCCCTCCTTTCCCCCCTTCCTTCCGCCCCTCCTTTCCCCCTCCTTTCCCTCTTCCCCTTCCTTTCCGCTCCTTTCCCCCCCTCCTTTCCCCCCTCCCCGTTAGCAGTAATTCTAGAGAAGCCTCTCCAGGTCGGGAGTCGTTGCTGCCATAGGAACTGTCGGGAAATACTGCTTCCACAGTCCGGCACCCCCAGAAACTAGTCTCCTAAACCCCCCTCTGAGTCCATCGGGGAGGCTACATGGAATAGGCTTGGGGTGTCGGTGCTGTGCTAGGGACAGTGTCACAGCTGCCAGGGGCTGCGAGAGGTTGGAAGCGTGAGCATCCCATTGCCGTCCAAGTTTCAATCCTTTCTGTCTTTCCAAAGGAAATAATGGCAGGGAATGTAGTTTTATTCTTGTCGCTTCATGGACAAGAGTGCCAAATGCTCCCCTTCCAGAGCAGATGGCTGGAATCCGGACAACCTGAGGGCGTGCAAAACTTGTGCTGACACCAAGCCTCACTTCTCTTACATCCCACTTGGACCACCGTTAAAGGGTGACCATGCCCACCCATCAATGGTCCTCCTTTCGTAGTGGCCAAGAGTGTTTCCTAAGCCCCATCCCTGGCAGTGTCCAAGGCCGGGTTGGACGGGGTTTGGAGCACCTGGTCTAGCCGAAAGTGTCCCTGGTTGGAACTGGATGAGCTTTTAAGGTCCCTTCCAACCCAACCCGTTTGATAGCATGAAACAATACGGTGTGGCCACAGGATGGCACCCTAATCCTAGGAATTGAAGGGAAGTGTGTGCTCAAGTCTGCTGTGGCTGAGGTGTTCGGTCGCGGGCAGATCCTAAACACACTTAACAATTCTTTTGCATGCTTATTTATTTTACAAACACTTAGTCTTTTAGGATCAGCGTGAATTGTGTGAGATAGTGCTTTTACCATCGGTAAAAATAAAGAAAACCAAATGTGACGATGACCAAACTAGCATATTTAGCATTAGATTATTAGTGGCAAGCAGTTAAGAACACTGGAGTCATCTTGGTGGTCCTGTGTTATCTGATCATGCTGGTTCTTAGTCCACTTGTAAACCCCTGACTTCATCCTGCCTACTCTTTCAGCAACCTGTTATGAAGAGGAATTTGTCTTCATTAGATAGGGAATTTATGTTCAGTTAACGGGGGGAGATCAAGAAGTCTAACACAAGAAAGTTAACCAACTTTAATGGCTTGTATAACACAAAACATTATTACAATCTATTGGCAAAGTCTATAACTGAACGTACCAGCAGAGCTACCAGACACTGTGTTCTCTGTTGTCTCCTTGAATGTGGAGCACAGCTCACTACAGTAGCTGAAATCTGGTTTATTCTCATTTGCTGAAGTGTGGTCCCTTCTCGGTGATGGGATAGCAAGTCTTGATAAGCTGCTGAGGCACTGGGCCACCAATCTCTTCAGTTCCACATCTTCCCTCTGGAAGCTGCTTGTCACTTGGAAACATCCAAATGATGCTGAAAGTAACCAGTTTCTGCTTATACTGATGTGTGTTTTAAAGGCATATGCAAAGTCCAGAAAGTAACAGATGTGCAGGGTCTTACATGCAGCTGAAGATCTTGTATATTAGAAGTTGCAGCATACTTCTGTTCCAGTTCCCACGGGGATGTAGTCCAAAAGTGGGGCTTAATATGACAAAACTGAATAACTTCAACCAAGTGGTTTGCTAAGCAGAGATTTCCCTATTTTACTTCCTGCTTTCACAAGCACATGGCAATGTAAAACCTCTTTGGGGCTGCTTAAAACAGTTGCTTCTTTGAAAAATAATATTTATGAGGCTATCTAGAGGAGCAGAGAAACAGAAATTGCTCTGATGGAAATCAAAATCCTCAGTTTTAATTTCCTGTCTACACAGTTGTCCAAACCCACATATTTTAGGGGGAATACAGGAAATGCTAGGAAGGACAATTTGTCCTAAATTAATACTGTGATCTTAAGAACACGAGTATTCCCCTTTCATTTCATCTTTTCTACATGCTCAAGTGCTTTGTAGCATCTGAGCTTTAAGGGGAACCCCAATCCTATTTGTCCACCAGTCTTACTAATTATGGAAGCTTTTTATCTCAGTAAAACTCCTAAAGGGCAGAAAAAGCCTGCTTCTAAAACAGAAAAGAGATGCTGTAGTCTGTAGAACAGTGAATATTTTTACTTACTCGTATGTTTCAATAACTTAAATGTCTATAGCATATGTTTATCACTGAAAACATCTGGGTCAACCCTGTTCAGACATCATTTTCACACCTCTGATGGTGTTGTGGTTTTGCAGCCATTGCGGCTGTGTTCTTTTGAGATTTTAAAGTTATTCTCTTATGTAGGCTAGAAAAATGGCAAGCAAAATCACTGCACTAAAAAGCTAAACCTGTGTTGATTCAGCCGTATTTGATGTAGCCTGGTTAAAACTCCATGTGCAGTGCTTTATTTTTAAGGTATCATAAACACATGGGTTTTTCTGATCAATGATAGGTCACTGGATTAGCTTTTTAGTACAAATAGCATATAAAGCAGCAGTTGATTAAGAGAGAGCTTGCTGAAATATCAAACTCTTAAGTCACTCACATGCCAACACCTAGTAATCAAAGCTATTATGAGAAAGATCCAAGAGATCGGTACTCAACCATACACAAAGGAAAATATACCTTGAACTATCAGAGTCTATTCTAAATGTGTAAGACTTTCCCATACCACTTGTAAGGATTCTCTATCACAGGCCTCAGTAATTTAGCATTATTTACAGAGATATACAACCAGGCTTAGTAAAAGCTGTGACTGAGACTGATTTAAATGAGTGAGATACCTTGTATAAGGTACAGTCAAGAGATCTGTCCGAAGAACCAGTGTGAATTCCTAACCTCTAGTTCACTTCAAAAAACCAGTTCATGAGCCTGTTAGCTTAGGCCCCCAGCTTTTGTGTGATTTTGGGCTCTCTGATACAAAACCATGCTTTTGCAGTCACACAAAAAAAGCGAACACCTTTTTCCCCCGTACAGGTGAGCGTATCTAGGTAGCTAATTTGATGCATCCTTTTCATTAATCATAGAAACAAAGAAGGGTTTACGTTGGAAGGGATGTTAAAGCTCATCCAGTTCCAACCCCCTTCCACGGGCAGGGACCCCTCACACTAGAGCAGCTTGCTCCAAGCCCCATGTGTCCAACCTGGCCTTGAACACTGCCAGAGATGGGGCAGCCACAGCTTCTCTGGGCACCCTGTGCCAGCGCCTCATCACCCTCCCAGGGAAGAGCTTCTGCCTTAGATCTAACCTGAACTTGCCCTGTTTCAGTTTAAAGCTATTTACATACAAATACCCAAATACATGAGCAAAACCAAGCTTTGGTAAACATGCATTCTGTGGTCTTTTGCAGCTGCCTTGGAGCCAAAATCCAGGACAGATTCTGCAGGTTTCCATCACAGACTTAATTCCACGCTAGTCAATTCCCCCTTTTTGCTGGGCACAGCTTACAAGGCAGCAGAAACTTCTTGTTCCCCAGTAGACTGCGTGTAGGTGGAGCTGGCCCTTTCAGCTGTGTCAACATAGAAAACGGGACAGAATTTAGGGAAGTGGAATGCAAGCTGCTTTCGGAAAAAGCTATGGAGGTACTTCCTGAATTTTTCCCCAGCGAAGGCATAAATGACAGGGTTGATGCAGCAATGGATCATGGAGAGCGTTTCTGTCACTTGGATCGCTTTGTGCAGTTGACCACTGCCTTGACAAGTGTTGATGAAAAAGGCACCTTGAAAATCACGCAGGAAAATGCAGATGTTGTACGGTGCCCAGAAAACAAAGTAGACAATCATGATGATAAAGATCAGCCTGACCGCTTTATGTTTCTTCTCATTCCTACATTGCAGTAATGTCTTTATAATTTGCGTGTAGCTGCAGATCATAATGAACATTGGGATAACCAGTCCCAGGATGTTCATTTTTAAGGTCAGGAATTGCTTCCATACATCTCTCTGCTCTGATGGATAGTGAGCACTGCAGGTGTAATGTGCGTTTTCCTTCTGAGTTGTGTGGAATACCATGCCAGGAACGGAAGCAAACGCTGCAACAGCCCAAGTGACCACGCTGGTGAGGATGCCGTAGGTAACTGTCCTGGCTTTCAAAGCAAACACTGCGTGCACTATGGCCAAATACCTGTCTAGGGTCAACAGGATTATGAAGAAGATCCCACTGTAGAAGCCAAGGAGGTAGACACCGGAGAGAATCCTGCACAGCGCCTCTCCAAAAATCCAGTCGTGGACAGCATAATAAGCCCAGAAAGGGAGAGAAAATACAAAGAGCAAATCGGAAATTGCCAAATTGAGCAGGTAGATGTCAGTCATGCTCCTCAATCTCTTGTATTTTACCAGGATAAGGACAACAAGCATGTTGCCTGTGAGGCCAAAAATCACCACCAAAGAATAGAGCGGTGGCAAAAGCTTCTCTGCTAAGTGCTTTTCCTCTGTTCCCTCACACGGTACTGCATCACCGTAGTCATATCCTGTTGTCTGTTCCCAGTTGTCTAAGTCTGTGGTGTGGTTTTCCATGGTGCGTTGGTCTGGAAAGGAAGAGAAGGATGTTAAAGTAGAGAAACTCCAAGCTTGTCAGTGATGGGAACGAAACACGCTGGTGTCCTCCTCTGCAATGCTTTTTGCTGTTGAGCACATGAGCATTTGCACCTCAGGGTGTGGATGAGAATGAAACTGCAGAGCTCCCAGGAAACCCATCTCTGTACCTGTGAAGCCACACTGCTGCATGTTGGAAGTGTGCTGAGGATGATTTCCTATGTGTACGCTCTCTGGTGTGGTTTCCCTTACCACCAGCTGCCTGACCCAACCAGAAGCAGAGGAATGATGAATTCAATCTGAGCAGCGGGTAGTTTGGTGCTGTTGTGCTCAGCAGTAGCTCAAAACCACCACTTCATTCTCTCTGCAGGAAGAAACTCAGCTTATGGCTGGAGGGAGCCAGGGGCAGACCCTTGGTCTGCTTTTGGTGATGCTCATAGTGATCCACTCTGATTTGCAGCCTGTGAAATCCCTGAAGCGCCTCTTTGTGTCTCTCTAGACAAAACTGTTAAGTTCAAAGGACTTTTTCATCCTGTAAGCACTGATTGCTCAAAATGGCAATGTCCTTACTGTATTTTGTGTTAAAGGGGTTAATTTAGCTAAACCTAAGCTGAGGTCCTTGGGAAGGGACTGGTTGCACGGTCTTTGACCAGTTTCCTGTCCCAGGATCTGAGCCCCTCCTGAGCTGCCAGGTGCTAATGGAGATTCTCATGCTGTAGAGCACAGACAGGAACCTGCCCCAAAAGGAGCAAGAACTATTGGAGCCCAGTCTGCACCTTGGGGACAAAAAAGAGGTGCTGTTTCTGCAAACCTTTTTCCCACCCCTTCCCCAACTTCTTCCCCAGTCCGGCTGTCATCTCTGCTCCGAAGAGCATCAAGACTGAGTACATCCATGTTCATCCATTCCTTTGGTGTGTGGAGCATGGCGTGAAGTTTTCAGGAGAACAAGAAGAGAAACTTGGTGTGTTTTGGGGTTTGGGTCTCAGCTTTGCCCAGACACAGTTTCTTGGGGAGGAAAGATTTGCTGCCAGACTTCTCAAAGGCAATCTCTGTGAAGCCTTTCCCCCCCGCAAGCCATACTAACTACACAGTTATTTGTATACTGAGACAGTGGGATTGTTGGGAAAGGAAGTGGTTGTGGCTCAGGTGTATTGACAGTAAATAAGTTGATTTTAATGTATCTGAGGGTTTAGATTTAAGTATTTTCAGCAACTTTTCTAGGAAAAAAAAACACAAACCCACCTTTATAAAACACTCTTTGGTCCAAAAAATGAACTTCTTTCTTTCAAAACATGACCAGACTCAGACACTGTGAAATAGTTAATATTCCATTCAGCTACATCTGTGTTGCATACCCTGACAGTACAAGTCCCTGGTAATGCACCTAGCCAAATACCTTCATTTCGGATGTGTCACTCAGCCATGCTGTGTATTGGGATTATGGGATGTGGCACTGGCTGCAGCAGAGTGCCAGACTCAGCACGTCCTGTCTTGATCGTTTGGCACCTGCGTGATGCTCGTGTATAAACACGGGTGTGGAAAACACCCAGGTCATAAACCCAGAATGGGATTTTATGAGTTTATGGTCAATAGGATTCATGCAAATGTTACTGCAAAATGCTGCCTCCACATTATTGTGGTAATTCTTTCTGTGCCAGCCCCTTCTCCCTGCTAACTGCTGTCTCAATGCCTTCCCTCCTTTTCCTCTGCTTTCTTGGAAAGACAACCACATCTTCCCTGCGTTTCATCTCCTTCCTCTCAACCCTTTTTGCATGCTTAAATTGTGGTCTCCCCTCCGGGTGCTGCCTTTCACTGAGCCCTATTCCTCTAGCCCAGCCCTTGCTTCAGCAGCCTCTCTGCAAAAGCTCTTACTACTTACTACATTGTATTGTGTAGTATGCAGCACATGCTGACAAGGGAAACTTGAGGTACTAAATGTGGAAAGCAGAAGAAGGAATTGTAAGTGGTTTTGTGCTTTATGCAGAAATCTCACTCCTTTAGGACGCAGTGCTGGCCACTGGCTAGAACGCTTCAGTGGGTTATAATCGACCTGGCTTGTTCACCTGATGTTCTAATGGTCAGATAAGCTCAAAGATAATACTGGAAGATCCCTGAAGAAAGGATGTTTCAAAAAGAGGTCTATCTTATGTTAAATACAGCTTAGATAAATGCAGGATCTCTGGATATCTGCAATCTGCTGTACAAATTCTGTTGCTCTGGTTAAGACCAGCAGTCTGTCATGCAGTTCTGGAGAGAAAAGCTCCATAGAAAGGCTGAGTAACTCATGCCGTGTTTCAGTCTGAGTTTCAGGGCAGAGCCCTCTGTTTCTAAAGAAGCAAGACTTTATTAAGTGATTTTCAGTTCATTTGCACAGTGCTATATAATGGTAGCAGTTCAAAAGCTGTAGTAAATAGAGGTAAAGTGCCAGCTATGCTGCACGTGAACAAGTTCCATGGCACAGTGTTTAAAACACAGCATCAGATTTTCTGTACTCATCCTGTGAGAAGAGTTAGGACTCTTCACTGAAACAAGCTGGTTTGTCCTTGCAGTAGCAGGTTTAAAATCCAGACTTCCATCACTATTTATCATCTTATACATTTCTTATATATTCTCCCTGCTCGTGGCAGGGGTTGGAACTGGATCATCCCAAGGTCCTTTCCATCCCAAACCATTCTGTGATTCTATGATCTTCAGAGAAAAAAAATATCACAAGCATTCTCCATCATATTTCTTAGCTCGATCTCTACAGGTTTACTTTTTTGCTTGCCTGGGTCCTCTGTTCAGGTCTTGTAGTGGTTCTGTCCCTTAGAAATAATGTATTCCATTTACAATATCCCATGCATTTCCCAGTGTAACTGTTAAAGGGGAGTTCCCAGGCAAGATTCCACAAGTGTTTTTTCACCTCAGGCATTAGACTACCTAAGCAACTCCTATATGTGAAAAACAAGCAAAGATGACTTACCATGTGTCTTATGGTGGGAGTGATGGCTTGGGTTATTAGATGGAGAATAACGCTAAACCGACTTGTCAGTCACGAGAGGAAGCTCAAAAACACCTCTTCCTGCTTGAAAAAGGATGTATCCGTTTGAAAACTTCTAGCAAACAAGTCTGTTTGCATTGAAAAAAAAAAAAATAAATCAAGGAGCAGTTCTCTTTTTGCTAAAAATGAGCCATCAGATGTTACTTTGCTGTGAGACGTGCAGAGATGTTGAAATGTGGATCCTCCTAGGAGCTGAACTCACGGTTTCACAACCCGCAGCTGGAGCTTTAGAAAGGGGGGTGTTATATTGTTGTGGTCTCTTTTTGATTGAGCTAAGCTCCTTGGAGCAGGACCAGTTTGCAGGAGGTTCATCCCTTTATGTTTCTGAATCATTCAATGCTTTATGGGGTTTGCCCAGGGACAAAAAGTGAAGCTTTTGTAGAAAGCTTCTGCTTCTACTCAGAATTACCTGTGCTTTGCGTTGGCTTGCTCTGAGTTTCAGTCTTTGTATTTTAGGAGATGTGATTGATTCTATTCTCCTCCAACCTAGTCTTTTGGACTGTGGTTTTTGTTTCAATCCCTCTCATAA